CGGCCAGGAGCAGGTCCGGCTCCTAGGCGGGTGGCCCATGGGGCTCTGCACACTGCCCCCGCCCCAAGCACTGGGGTTCCTAGCCAATGGGAGCTGGGGGGGGGGCAGTGCCTGGGGGAGAGAGCCACATGGAGGAGCTTTTGCGCCTCCACCTAGGAGCTGGACGTGCTGCTGGCTGCTTCCGGGGCACAGTGTGGTCCGCGGTGCCAGGACAGGCAGGAAGCCTGCCTTAGCACCCCCGCTGCGCCGCTGACTGGGAGCTGCCTGAAGTAAGTCTGCGCCCTAATCCCCTGCCCCAGCCCTCCCAAACCCAGAGCCCCTTCCTGCGCCCCAAACTCCTCATCCCTGGCCCCAGCCCAGAGCCTGCACTCCCAGCCCAGAGCCCTGACCTGCTCCCGCACCCCAATCCCCGGCCCCAGCCCTGATTCCCCCCCCAAACCTGGAGCCCCCTCCTGCACCCCAAATGCCTCATCCCTGGCCCAACTCCGCAGCCCTCACCCCCGCACCTCAACCCTCTGCCCCAACCCTGAGCCCTTCCCACCACCCCAAACCCCCCTCATCCTCAGCTCCGTTGCATTGTGGGCATCAACAATTTATTTCAACTGGGTTGCCAGAAAAAAAGTTTGAAAACCACTGAATTTTAAATCATTCCACCCTGTTGTAAAGTGATTGGTTTAGAAATTCCTCTGCAAATTCTTGTTTATCTGCTTCAACTATCACGTCACTGAAGAATTAAACTATACACCTGAGTACCCATTAGGGTGGAGTTCTGGAAAGTGTTTACTTAAGTTACTGGGCGTGTGTGTTCTGCACTGGGCTAGGGCAGCTGGACCAAGAAGGGGTACCAGACAAGAGTCTGTTCCCGGGGAGTGAGCCTAGAGGCCAAAGAAAGAGTGTGCCTGGAGCTCCCTCAGAGCCAGAGGAGCTTAAAAGCATATGGATCCAATCTCAGCAGCCTGGTGAGCCTCCAAAAAGGGGCAGCTACACCAGGTCTGTGAAAGCTTGTTAATTCTGGCTCATGGATATCCCTCATCTGTTGAAAAGGCTGCCAGTTTTGTCCTGCCACCTCGTTTATAAGTAGGACAGGACAGACTTCTGTGCTGCAGGTCTTAGGATCTAAAACTTTTCTACAAAAAAATAAATTTGGGGGCAGTTGAGCTTTAATGTGTCTGGATCTGTGTCAAATGGTTTGGCTGTCTTCTGGGGTTGAGCCTCTGAATTCTTGGCTTCTCTCTCTTGCTGAGGCACTGCAGGTGGTGCATGCTCTGGTATGCCCCTCATAACCTGCTAGATACTTGTTTGGCAGGTGGTCAAATGAAAAACCTTCAATTCCTAAACCTTTTTCCAGGTAATGCATGGATAGTGAGCTCTACTGGTTTTATGGCTGGGGAAATGCCCCTTCCTCTCTTTCTCCCCATCTCCTGCCTAGCCCACAAACGAATCATCCAGACCGCCTTATTAACAAGGCTAGACAAAAGCCAGGCTGGAGAGGCTATCAAGATGGCAATAAGGGACCATTGTGCCCAACTCCACAGAATACCCAACAGTTCACATATTTCATGGCCTGTTATCAAAGGCCTTAACTAGCTGCTGTTTTTCCAGTTAGACTTATCTATGTAAGTTTTTTCCATTCAAGGTATATAAGGGTGGAGGTTGCTTTTCCTGGGGCAGCTCCAGTTCCCTCTTCCGTCAGCCAGGTGACCACAGTTCCAATTGGTGATTTCTGAGTCTGGCCATGCTGGATAAAAATCCCCATAAAGGAGTCAGGAATCTATGAACATACCCTCCTCCAAGACTTGCGTCTGACAAGGGGATCAAAGAAGCAGCAGCCCTGTGAAGCAGACAAAAAGATTAAAATAATTGGTCAACAAAAGCTGGTCCAATAAAAGATAGTACCTCACCCACCCTGTCTCTCTCAAATAATCCAGACACCCATCCCACTAGCTCTGCAGGAATTTCCTTAGCTCTGTGCTGTATGTTGGAATCTCTGTCTGATTCAGACAGGGTAAAAGTGCAGGAGCCCATTCCTTGCTGCCTCCCCCAAAGAATGCACATGGGAGGAGGGGAGGGAATACAAAATAACACTGGCCATTTTAAGCTCAGTCATAGATTTGTCTTTCAGACTCTTACTAAGGGCGTTATAAGGATCCTTGCACCTACCCAAAGCACTACTCTCAAAAAGGCAGTCGCCAAGAAAAGCTGTCACGGGGGCTCAGACTCTTCTTCCTGAGAGGAAGGTCAGTTCTTGGATTTGAAACTCGAGGGACAAGGAAAAGGAAATATAGGATGGGTTCCATCAGGAATACTTCAAGACTATTCTAAGGAGGTTTATTTCTGCATAAGACCCTTGCTTTGTGGCAAGTCTTCCATTTTGTAAACAAAAAACAACCGGCTCCCTCCCCAAAAAAACAAAAACCAGACAGCAAAATGTCCAGAAGATATTTTTCCTCCGCTTCAAAATTAGTTCCTTATATCCCATTAAATGGTGTCCAGATTATGGCAGAACGGGAGGGCCCTGCAATATCCCAAGCTCTGTGGTACAATGGACCTCATTGGATCTCTAATTCAAAGCTTGTGGATTTGTATCCCACTATAGTTGCCAGTAGACAGACAAGTGAATTAAGCTGTAAGGAAGATCTATGAGGCAGATTCAGCAACTCAAAAGGCCTCCGCAGAATCCACCTGCTTGGCTTGAGCAATCCTGACATAGATAGAATTGCTGTCTAGTTTCCTCCCAAAACTAATCAGTCTCATGTTTGCTTGGCATTCTCAGCCAGGGCAACTGCCCCCTCTCCCCCCCCTTTTTATCCCTCCCTGCACACCTTAGTACCCAAAGAAAAGAAATGTGTTGAGTAAGCACAAATATTCTTATTCTTGCTTTCCATATTATATTATAATTTAATTTTAAAGCTTTTTTAGCAGGGAGGGAGCTAGATGACTTAGTAATATTTTCATATATTTCCATGATTTTAGGTAACTAGTACTCTGGGTCATTGTCCACATACCCTTGGAAAATAAGCTATGAGAAATTTCTTTAATAAATTATCTATTTTTTTAACTATAATTTTCTGAATCTCACTGTCAGAAACTGATTACTTGACTTGGGTAAGTTTTAAATGTCCTATGTTAAAACGAATAAGACATTTCTTTCCATGAGGCAAAAGGAGTGTCTGAGCTGGAAATTATAATAGTACCATTTATCCCAGGGCGAAAACAAGTACATGCTATCAGTCTTTCCCACGCTTCCAACATGACTGCATTGCTGATCTGGCTGAGAAGGCTTTTTCTTAGGTTTGACTTAACCATGTACGTTCCACTTTTAGTTTGATTGTATTGTAATATCATGGAGTTCTGCCAGGCTTTGAGATCGGTAGGGATGAGCATTATTGTCTCTTTAGCATTACTACTTATTTTCAGTGGGGAGTAAATAGAGATGCTTCTTCTTTAGATGATGTACTTTTTAAAATTAAGAATGAAATACAAAAAACTTTAAGAAAGCTATGAAGGGAACACGTTTTTGGTGAAGTACACAAACTATTGTGCTTTTTCTGGATGGGCAGAGTTGGTGATTGGGAAGGAAAACAACTGAATCCTTGCAAAGATAATTGAACTTTCTCTTCTTTGAAAGTATGGATCAGTTAAGGAAGCACCATTTCCAACATGTTCACTAGCCAAGATTTTAAAGATTTTCATTGCATTGGATCAAGTGGGAAATCACTTATGGCCCTATTGTGATACCATTGATGTCAGCGGGATTGTTTTTGGAATAAGATGCTACTCAGTGTGAGTAAAAATGTTGCCTATAATTTTTAAATAAAGTAGAATGAAACCATTTGTCTATAATAAGTATCTGCAATTTTAGTAGTGTGGCTTTCATGCACATGACTTCAGCACTGATGATCAAAATTACTTTAAATCTGGAGCTCTTGTGAGGCACTCAGTACAAATGCCTTTGGGTGTGTGTCACCATCTCTGCTCCATTACAAGGTTTTTGCCAGCTTTTTTGCTTTTTGGCAGCATTCCTTCATTTTACGCCACATGGAAGAATTCACCAAAGGTTACTACTCAGATATTTGATGTTTACTACTTTGTGTTTTTTTTCTGTAGTAAAGTATAGTTCTAGTAAGAAACTTCAGTTTATTGCAAACTGGTGTATGGGTAGGTTATGGCCCATTTCGATGAGAAAACGCTGGTTTCGATAAACAGAGAACTGAATCCAGGTATTAGGGGTGGTTCTCTGGATGTCCTCTCCAGTTGCAGCAACTCACCACTACTACTCTAGGTATCTTTCACCATCACCACCATGTTCTATTGTATTCTTCCAGCAGGCCATAGCCTGTAGCGTTGTTTACATATATTTACAGTCCCTAGCCAGTTTCCCCACTTGCTTCTAGGGAAAGGAACAGTACTAGCGGCATCTAGTCCTGTGTACCTCAAGATCCCTCACCCTTGGACTTTCTTCCTGTCAGTTTATATAATCCCACCTGCTGGGGTTGCTTCCTGATGGGTGCTAAAGTGACAGGGTACTGAGTTAGCTCCTGACTTAGCACACCCTGTTGCTCTAGATTTTTAAAAGGTTACCCACTATCATAATATCTGAATGCTTGTGGTCTTCATTGGGACTATTCAGTATGTCCTACTTCTCAGTTGCAATTAATAGAATGATTTGTTAAGCTCTAATAGCTATTCCTGCAGTTGAAATTGTATTTGTTGTCATCTGTATGTTTTTAAATATGTCTTAAATCAGGTTATAAAAACCTAAATATAGAAATAGCAAGTCACCACTGGGAAAGGCTGTGTCACCAATGGATTAAAAAGCGATATAAGGGAATTTAATCACTTTTTACCTTTTTAAAAAAAACTGAACAAGATTTAAATACAAATCTTGTAAAATAAATAAAAAATGTCTAGGCCTCCTATTGATAGCTGTATTACAGCTCTCTAAATAGACTAATAATTCATATTTTTCTTATAGCTTCAAGAAACTAATTGACACACACATATCAAAAGATGGCTAGATCTAGATCAAGATCACCAAGGTGGAAACACAGGTAAATGCTTAACTTTTATTATGCTTTATATTAGAGCTGTTAATAGAATACCATTTATTTAAATATTTTTGGATGTTTTCTACATTTTCAAATATATTCATTTCAATACAATACAGAATACAAAGTGTACAGTGCTCATTTTATATTTATTTTTGATTACAAGTATTTGCACTGTAAAAAAACAAAAGAAATAGTATTTTTCAATTCACCTAATACAAGTACTGTAGTGCAATCTCTCTATCATGTAAGTTGAATTTCAAAAAGTAGAATTATGACAAAAAAACCCTGCATTCAAAAATAAAACCATATAAAATTTTAGAGTCGGCAAGTCCGCTCAGTCCTACTTCTTGTTCAGCGAATCGCTAAGACAAACAAGTTTGTTTACATTTGCAGGAGATAATTCTGCCCGCTTCTTGTTTACAATGTCACCTGAAAGTGAGAACAGGCATTTGCATGGCATGTTTATAGCTGGCATTGCAAGGAACTTACGTGCAGGATGCGCTAAAGATTCATATATCCATTCATGCTTCAACCACCATTCCAGGGGATATGCATCCATGCTGATGACAGGTTTTGCTCAATAACAATCCAAAGCAGTGCAGACTGACGCATGTTTATTTTCATTATCTGAGTTAGATGCCCCCAGCAGAAGGTTGATTTTCTTTTTTGGTGGTTCGGATTCTGTAGTTCCTGCATCGGAGTGTTGTTTTTTTAAGACTTCTGAAAGTATGCTCGACACCTCGTCCCTCTCAGTTTTTGGAAGGCACTTCAGATTCTTAAACCTTGTGTTGAGTGCTGTAGCTATCTTTAGAAATCTCACATTGGTACCTTCTTTGGGTTTTGTTAAATCTGCAGTGAAAGTGTTCTTAAAATGCCAACATGTGCTTGGTCATCATCTGAGATTGCTATAACATGAAATATATGGCAGAATGCAGGTAAAACAGAGCAGGGGACATACAGTTCTCCCCCAAGGAGTTCAGTCACAAATTTAATTAACGCATTATTTTTTTAACGAGTGTCATCAGCATCCAGCTTCTGGAATGGTGGCCGAAGCATGAAGGGGCATACGAATGTTTAGCATATCTGGCACTTAAATACCTTGTCATGCCAGCTACAAAAGTGCCATGCAAATGCCTGTTCTCACTTTCTGGTGACATTGTAAATAAGAAGAGGGCAGCATTATCTCCTGTAAATGTAAACAAACTTGTTTGTCTTAGCGATTCGCTGAACAAGAAGTAGGACTGAATGTACTTGTAGGCACTGAAGTTTTACATTGTTTTGTTTTTGAGTGCAGTTATGTAACAACAACAAAATCTATGTTTGTAAGTTGCACTTTCACGACATGGAGATTGCACTACAGTACTTGGTATGAAGTGAACTGAGAAATACTATTTCTTTTGTTTATCACTTTTACAGTGCAAATATTTGTAATCAAAAATAATATACACTTTGATTTCAATTACAACACAGAATACAATAGATATGAACATGTAGAAAAACATCCAAAATATTTAATAAATTTCAGTTGGTATTCTATTGTTTAACAGTGCAATTAAAAACTGTGATTAATTGCGATTAATTTTTTGAGTTAATCGCGTGAGTTAACTGCAATTAATCGACAGCCCTAGTTTATATTTGTTTTCAGAACATAGCTTTATATAGGAGTTTATAAAACAGCCTTTATCTTTTAGGATAGCAGAACAAAAAGATATTAAGACTAAAAATGTATTTCAAAGAAAACATATTTATTTTATAAAATACTAATTTTATGTAATCTGTAAAAGCAAGTTTTCAAAAGTAAATTGAGTTCTTACTTGCATGAAATTTGAGCCAGATAGAAAGTGGTAATAGGTTTTAAGCATCATTAAGCCTGCAAGAAGGAGTTCGTGCATGAATGGCACCAGTTTAATTTGTGACAGCTTTTAAATTCCACTTCCATTTTTAAAAAAGTAAAACAAACTGGTTAACAATTAAGTGAAGTGGTTTGTTGGGTAGGCTGGATGAAGCCTTTCCCTGCTGAGTAGAGGGAGAGGGGTGCATGCTATCAATTTTAGCAGAATGTCAAAACAGCCACTACGTTTCTAGTTTGCCCCAATAGGTGTGAACGTATCTTTCAAAGGTGATGATGGTGTCCTGAGTCTGCAGACAGCTTTTTTGCTGAACACAGCTTTCTAGAATTGAGCTAGCAATCTGCAATGAATTTTGCATTTGCTAAGGAAAAATCCACAAGAAGATAGTGATTTTCTTGGAATTTACTCAAGCTTTTTTCAAGGGTTCTCTAAATCTGTGGATTGATTGCAGAGTTTGCTGTAAATATTCAGTAACTGATTAGTTTAAATACAAGATGCTTTGATCTAGGATTGCCTCCTGATTCTCACTGGTGGTTCCTACTGTCTTATTCTTTCGGAATGGCCTCTGACTAGTAGGTGTCTGGCAGTTTAAAAAAAAAAACAAAAACAAAAACTGCATAGCTGGCCTCAGCATTTTTGAAAATCAGATGAGCATACTTTATCCAACATGCTTTCATCACACATGGAGGAGTATTGATTTTAATGTGGAAGTGTCACTTGAATTTGTGATGGGACACTGTTCATTTGAATAATTAGTTTTGCATATGAAAGTGCAATCAATCATGGTTTTTTGTTGTTGTTGTTGTTTTTTTAAATGAACGCGTGGAAGCACCATTTAACATATTCAGGTATATACTTACTAGCAAAAACATTAATATTTATATGCAAGAAGACAGAGATTAGAGCTGGTTTAAATTTCTTGACTTATGAAAACTTTTCCTAGTGGCAAATGTGGTTTTGACAAAATCAGAATTTTCTGCGGGAAAAGGCTAATTTCAATAACATTTTTGATTTTGTTCAAAAGGAAATTTTGAAATTAAACATAATGCTTCAAAGTGACATTTCAAAAAAAAAATTTTGTTCCAGTTTTTGGAAACTATGACATTTTTTTTCCATTTTTTTGGTTTTTGAATGTTTGGGGTTCTCCCATTCTCCACCTCTTACCACCCCCATGCCTTTTTGTTTCCACTGGAAAAATTTGAGAAATGGTAAACAAGTGTGAAAGTACTTTCTACATTTGCTTACTGTTTTCCAACATTTTCCACTGTAATCTAAATGAAAAAAAAATTGTTTTGAAATGAAAATTCTTGTGGAAAACCTGAAATTTTTCAGTTAAAAAGATTTGGTATTTTCCCATGTAATTTTTCATTAGGGGAAAAATCAGGTTTTTATATCAGCTCTAGCTGAGATACAATTGCTTTGGACTTTATAATTTTGAATACTTTGGCTTGTTAAAATTAAGAACCATAACATTGCAGTAATACTGCGTAAGTTATTTTTGCACTGAATATATTTTTTGTTTTAACAAATTTGTATGTTTTTTTTTTGTAATACTTAAAATGGAATCTTTCTTTTTCTTATGTAGGTCCTTATCACCTGCATTTAGGAGTCCAGAACACCATAGACAAAGACATGCTCATATTAATTATGACTGTGAATATAAGAGATTTAGGAAAGACCTAAAGAAACCTGTGTCTTGGAGAGTGGAAGATGGGAAATACGGACAAAGCAATTCTAGATTTGCACCACATGGGAATATCCCCCACAGAATTTATGAACATAGATCATCTTCACCAAATGTAAAAAGAATTCCTTTAGAGGATACGTATAGTCGTAAACCCTATAGAACACATTCATCAGAAAGGGGTGAAGGCAACAGGAGATATCAGTTTCCACCCAAATACTCAGAAGTATCCTACAAAGAACATGATCAACCTTTTTACCCACACAAAATGCAAGAAAGATATATGCCTGAGGACTTCAGAGTCACTGGAGATGAAAAAGGAATGAAACCTTTTCATAGACCATTAGGGGCTTCATGTAAATTTGAAAGAAAATGGCATGAAGATGAAATGAGGCACCAGAAGTTTCAGGAAGACAAATATGGTCAGTCACTCCGAAGAGCTTCTGAAGAATTTACGACAAGGAGCTCTTTGCAGAAGAGGTATAGGAATAAAATAATTAAACCTGGGTAATGTGGTGTAAAGCCTCAAGTGAAAGTCTATTTTCGTTGTAGTTGAAGATTTCCACCTTGAAAGGCATTTATCAATTTGTAGTTTAATTGTGGGCAACTGGTGGTAGAGAAGTATTTATCTTTTTAAGTAAATCATGTACATGGCTAGAGTATAAAAGGATAATATTTTCCTTTTAAGTGCCCCTGCACTTCTGTACTCTGGCTTGAGGGATTTTGGGTTAACTTGCCACGCATTCTGCATATAAGGCCGTCTATCCAACATTCTGCACATAAATTCTCACTTTCTTCTCTAGTGCAAGTGTAAATTGCTTTATGTCAACACAGGTATCCTGAAGATCGTGATTACAGAGAACATGGGCATACATCTAAAAGGGCTAAAGAAATTGAGAGATATGACGCTGGAGAAATAGCAAGAAATCACAAATGGAAGCAAGATCGTTCTTTTCTACCCTACCAAAAAAAGGAGGAGCAAAGAAACATTGGTCCACAAGCTCATCGGTCTGCTGAAAGGGAGTACACAAAGAGTTCTGTTACGAAGATAGCATATGACTATAGTTACAAACAACATAGACACCCAGATGGGACAAAATCTTTTTCTGATGATAGAGCTCAGAAGTATGTAAAGCAGGAAGACCAAAAATATAATTCTCCTAAGGGTGCTCTGAATAGCAAAGAGTTAGATTATTGTAGTGGTGGAAGAGTAAGACAGACTGAAGAAGGGCATAATGAAGTACCCATTAAATATAGTTCAGAGAAGGGCTGCAATGCATGTGCCAACTCTTATAAAAATGATGTTGATCTGAGACCCTTTAATAACACAAAGAAGGAAAGAGTAAGGAATGAAGGGGATTTCAGAAAAAAAATAGATTCTTCTAATAGCCATCATGACACAAGTCATACAGTTTCAGATGTGAAAATGTCAGATGTCACTCCTAGGAAGGAGCTGCTCACAATCAAAGTGGATATGAAGAAAATGATGAACAAGTACAGGTATTTTTTTTTCTTACCTGTTCATGCTTCCTTTCTTGTTTAGTTGTGAATATTAAAGAAACCAAAGATTCTTAAGGTGGTAACTAGAGCAAAATAAGGTGATTGTTCCTTAGTACAAAAATGCTAACTTGCTAACTCTGATGAGTTACTGTTTGTTTCTCTGAAAGGAAAATAGTACCTGATTATAAGGATGTGGTGGGGGGGGATGATGCTTTTTTCCCCTTCCTCTCACTGAGATGGATTTATCTACCTAGGATTTTTTTTTAACCAGGTAAAAATCTGGTTTTGTCCTGTCTTCTGGAATGACCATTTAGGATGGGATTTTCATTGACTTCCACTGGTACTTGGGTACCTAACTCCATCAGGCTCCTTTGAAAATTACTGCCTTAAAATGTATATAATCTCAAACACCTGAGATCTCAAATCCAGTAAAACTATAGAACAAAATGGTACATTCATGGGCTGTATAATTCAAGTGTGTTGAAAGAGGTGTTGCTGGAACAAACTAAATTAAACAGCAGCATGTTACCTGGGCCTGATGGTATTTCTGCAACAGTTCTGCATGAGCTTGAAAGTGAAGTCACTAGCAGCTAACAAAAAATATGGCATTATCATAATCAACCATTATGCCAGAGGACTGGAAATGGCAAATGTTGTACCTATGTTGAATAGGTGTTTGATTGTAATTTCTATGATCATCCCTATCAGGCCTACTTAAGTACCAGTAAATTAGTAGAAATTGCAATATAAATACCTAGATGCAAATTACATGGACGGACAAGCCAGTATGACTTCTTGAGAAGAAATCATGCTTCAGTATACTAGAATTATTCTAACATATTAACATGATGGTGAATAAAGGAGAGATGGTTTATATAATTTGGGCTGGAAAACCTTGACAGTCCTTTACGAGAAGCTATTTTGAGGGGGTTGGGGTAGGGGAACTAGGTAGTTACAGTCCGAGAGGTAAAGTACTATGATGAATTATAACTTTCCTGAGAGACAGAAAACTATCCATTTGCAGCATGGCAAAAGATTAGCAGTTGGGTGTCATAAAATTCTCTACTAGCACTAGTGTTTATTCTTATATTAATAAACTGTAGAAGAGGCTGAACAGCTAAGTGGCAAAATCTTGCGGATGACCAGATTTAATCAAGAAAGAGATAGTTAGAAAAAGAATTGGATAACTACATAAGGTAGGAGAGAGATTTTTATAAGGGAGGCAAACAGTCATACCTCATGGCAGAAGCCAACTTCTGACAAATGTTAGGAAGAAACTTTCCTTGCGGAGACTGCACTGGATGAGCCACGGGTCTTATCTGGTATAGCAGTTCTTATGTTCATGATGTATTTTCTGAAAGGTGAACAGTAAACCAACGTTCTAGATGTCTGAGTGGTATTTCATTACATTGATAAACTACCTCAGTCTAAGAAATAGCAAAAGAATATAGTCAATTAGAAACTCCTTATATATCAAGGGAACTACTCCCACAGTATTTTTCCCTCCCCATCGAAGTTTCTTTTGTATATTTTTCTGCCTGAAATCAGTAATAAAATGTGGGGTTACGGAGACTAGAGAGAACACTGTACTAACTGAAGAGAGGCCAATATGAAAGACTATAGACGGCTGTACCACTAGGGAGGTTGAGAGACAGTGGCACCTGTGCTTGGGCTGCTGTTCCTGCTTTCTTGAGTGGCAATATACATGACGTGATTCTTCTCCATTTCACTGCTTCCCACAAGGGTCTGAAAAACAGTACAGAAGAACCTGGCCATGTCTTGCTAATTTCACTCTGTTTATGTTTGGGAAAACCACCCACAGTAGAGATGGAAATTTATTTGCAGACCGAGCAAGACAACACTACATTGATTGTCATTCATTTCACATTTGGAAGACTATTTTTGCATCCTTTTTTTAATGAAAACTTAATTTCTGCAGAAGTTGGTTGCTTAGGCCCGTTAATTTTTATTGGAAAGCTTCCTATTCTTCAGTGGCAAATAGGCAAACGGAGTTTTCAAGACCTTCCAGGAACAGCTATGTCTGATGTAGCTCATTATTATTTAAATGTTGCTTCTGTTGCTTCTTGTTGGAAGAAAATAGAGAGTTGCCTTCCAAAAGCACAATAAAAAAAAATTCCAAAACATTTTTGTATTTTATAAAAAAGATGATAATGTGGAACACTTAGAGGTGTTCTGCATTTTGTGTTTTCCTAAATAATGACTAAAGCATTCATTGTAAGGAGGGTAACAGAATAAGATTGTTAAAAGTATTGCTGGTCTCAAAATAGTTTGAGAAAATGCAGCAATTTTGAAGACCAACTTAATTTGGAAATTTTAAAACGTACTGACAGAAACACCAGATACTTGCTTCTCCTTTGATATATTAACCAATCAAGCTGGTTACTTGCGATAGTCAGCCACAAGACTTTTCAAAAATTGGATCATTGTTTGAGGGGGTGGGAGTGGGCGGGAATAGCCTATTCTACTGTTGGAAATCAATATAGTCCCTCTTTTCGAATATGGAGATACATCCTGCCAAGTTCCAAAATCACTCCAGACCTTCTGCTGGAACGTACACCTATAGTAATGGCTGTTTCTCAATACATGTTTTTCCTTTATTTTTATTTGATTATGTGGGTTCATTACATAATTTTAAATCTACAAATACATATAATCATGAAAAATCCAGTCCTAGCTCACGCCTAGTCTCCGTGCTATCCTCTCCTTCATCCCTCATTCAGTCTTCTCCTTCATGATCTGTGTTCCTCACGTAGTGTTTGATTTAAAATGTGAAAAGGGCTTTAATTTGTTTCCACCTTTCCCTAAGATAAAATTGTCTCTTGATCTACTCTTTATTTTAATTTTTTGTTAATATTTCAGTATCTCTGAAAGTTACTAAATAAATTTATGCAAATTTATTCTAGGACTGCTTCTAGCCATACTATGGAGCGGCAGATGTCACATGATCTGGTTGCTGTTGGCAGGAAAAATGAAAATTTTCATCCAGTGTTTGAACACATGGAATCTGTAACACAAAATGTCGAGAACAACCCATCAAAAGAATTTACTCAGGAAATCATAACAATTATCCATCAAGTTAAAGGTGAATTATAATATTTTATGCTTGAACATATAAACTAGGGATGTGGTTAATTAAAATGTTTTGGTATCTACCAGAATACTCGCTATTTGAATACAAATAGAACAAGACAAGTAAAGCCTCATGCAGGTTTCTGAACAGTATGTGGGGTGGCTGTGGCCTTGGGCATGTTTGACAAGGAATGCTGATGTGGAGGTTTTGGTAGTCTAGAGTAGAGGAAGTCTGGTGTGTCGCTAAGGGTTCAGGAAGGGTTTTGCTAGAGGAGCGATCAAATTAAGCTGCTTGTCAAGGAAGAGTTGGGGTTCTGTCCTGAGTGAATGTGGGTAAGAGATACGCAGAGGGCTTGGCAGCCTGGAGAAGGTGGTAGGACATTGGGGCTCTTGATTGTTAAAGGTGGGGTTAGAAATTGACTGCTGGGACAAAAGTAGTCTCTTAATTGGTGGCCTCACTTGGTTACATAGTTTTTATATTAAGTAAAAATGGTCTTGATTTGCATCTCATTTACAGCCAAAACAAATACAAAGCTAGGGCCTCAATTCTATGTGGTAATCCATATGCATAAACTATTGCACCCATATGCGTCCCATCTTGCAGTACCAGGGCTTATGTGTTGCAGTGGAGAGATACTGGTGCCTCTCATATAACTTTTCTTGGGAGGAAAGGAGTGAGATAAAATATACTTTGTTTTATTCAAAATTAACTATAAGCAATTTACATTTTCTGCTCCTTTCATTTTTCAGTTTAACCTTATTAATTTTGTTGTAGTGCTACTTCTGTGCAATGCTGATTGTGACAACCCATAGGTACCAGTATTTAAATTATTATATTAACAGAGATGGTAAACCCTTACATCTCTTTATGTTGAGATTAATTTTATTGAAAAATGAAATGATTAAATACATTGTTGCTAATATACTAAATATTAAAGTACTAGGATGGCTGCTTTAATATGTATGCAGTTTGTTAAAGTACTAATCTTTCAGCAGTGTGAGTTAGGGTTGTATTTCAAGTGGGATTTATTTGGATTTAATGTCAGCATTCAGTGTTATTTTGTACAGTTAATATTTTAATAGTATGGTTGTGCAATTGCAATACAAATGATAAAGTAATATTTTTGCATTTAATATATCTTCACAGCAAATTATTTTACATCTTCTGACCTAACTTTAAATGAACGCTTCTCAAAAATTCAAGATAAACCAGTTGTAAATTTAAATGAAGTTAAAATATATTCAGATCCAGAAATTCACAGGTAAAGCATAAACTTTGTGCTATTATTTATATTGATTCAGCTATTTAATTGTTTCCATTATATTATACGTGCAGCTTAATGTGGAATATGAAATAAATGGAATATTTCTTTCAGCATCTTTTAGTGGACTGTAAATTGCATAGCATGCAACTGTGTAGTATAATTGTTTTTAAAATGGCCATAATAACCATGGCTTTTTGTTTAAAGTGATCATTCTCTTCCATGTTTAAATGTGGCATACTCATTCTTATATCATTTCGGTTTATTACTTCAGGAGAATTGATATATCTTTGGCAGAACTTCAGAATAAACTAGCTATGCCATGTGAATCTGGACAGGTATGTTAATTTTTTGTTTTTTTTATGGGGGGAGAATAAGTTACAATGACAATCTGTTAGCACTTCTGTAATCCTTTTTTCATGCTCTTGTAACTCGTCCATAACATTCCCATTAGTATACAAATACTGAACCATCAAGCAATTTTAAGATCATTTTAATTTTTTTCCACATTTTTTTTTTTTTTTTTTTGCACATAGATTTAGAAAGTGAATCTTGACAGTCCAAGTATCGTGTATTTCCCTGCCCATTCAATAAGCAGGCAAATGTGTTCTGCGCTAACTGAAGTCTTTGAGTACTCATGCTATGCTTTGTGAACCCAGGACCATTTGAAAGCAGTTTAAATATTGAGCTGATGCCAGTTAACCCATGGATCCAGTGTTCCACCTGGGGTTATAAAAGGCTCTAACCTCCTTCCCCTCCTGCTAAACTAAATAGTTGTCCTGAGTACTTCTCTTTTTGTAGGCGCAAGCAGCCTCAGCACTATTTACCTCAAACCAACTGTATTGTCAGTGTACTTTAATGATTATAGTTGTATTTACATATTGTTTAAAAAATGTTAGGATCTAGTTAATGTGGATCCAGATAAGCACCCAGGCTTCAAGCACTGCACTGCATTTCACACTAGGTGCTTAAAGTGTTTGGGAAAAGGGCACCTACTTGAGGATACTTGGCTGGTGTTCTCTGATATCAGAACAAGATGCAAATAAGAAAAGTGGGACTAGGCCTTTCCATGTGGCATTCTATCTGAGGCTTTGGATCAACTGATCAGAAGTACTTCAGTCTTTCTCCAAAGAGGAAAGACAAATAATTGGTTATAGCAGCCCATTCGGAGTCCCATAGTCCTCTATTCTCTGAGGTATCAAGACAATTTTGATGTAGTTGTTTCAAAGAAACATTCAAGAGGTAAGCCCTTGTTGCCAAGCTCAGGATTGTATGGAGAAGCATTGCCTTTAAAGGTCCAATCCCCCAGTTCACCAGCCTGTTAACTTCTGTATGTTGAGCTAGGTTCTTAGTAGGCTTATGGCTACTCCTTTTGAATGTTGGGGAACTGTTCTCTACCTTTTCTTTCCAGAAAAGTTGTCTTCCTGATGGCTGAGTAAAATCCACACTTTAATGATGGACCCTTCTTGTTTAGTATTTTCCAAAGAGAAAGCAGTGCAGCATCCTTAGTTAATATTTCTGGGTAAAGTGTAGTATCTGAGCATCATCTAAAACGGGTAGGCAACCTATGGCACACATGCCAAAGGCGGCACGTGAGCTGATTTTCAGTGGCACTCACACTGCCCGGGTCCTGGCCACTGGTTCAGGGTACTCTGCATTTTAATTTAATTTTAAATGAAGCTTCTTAAGCATTTTAAAAACCTTATTTACTTTACATACAACAATAGTTTAGTTATATATTATAGACTTATAGAAAGAGACCTTCTAAAAACGTTAAAATGTATTACTGGCACGCGAAACCTTAAATTAGAGTAAATAAATGAAGACTCGGCACACCGCTTCTGAAAGGTTGCTGAACCCCGATCTAAAATAAAACATATATCTATATCTTCTGCTCAAAGCTTCATACCATGCTGAGGAAGGCTAGCTGAATAAATTAGATGTGAAAACAAACCTTTGAAAACTAAGCCATTTTGGAAGTAATCTTATTTGAGGACTTTGGTAACAAGACCAAAGGAGACGAGATCTCCATCTAGAGCAGTAGTTCTCAAACTTTTGTACTGGTGACCCCTTTCACATAGCAAGCCTCTTGAGTGCGGCCCTCTCCCCCCTTACAAATTAAAAACACTTTTTTATATATTTAACTCAGTTATAAATGCTGGATGCAAATTGGGGTTTGGGGTGGAGACTGACAGCTCACGACCCTCCATGTAATAACCTCGTGACTCCCTGGGGGGTCCCAACCCCCAGTTTGAGAATCCCTGATCTAGAGATTATCCAGATGGTTAAAGTAATGTATCTGGATGTCACAGTTACCGGGTGAAGTTTGAGCCCCTTTAGTCCTTCTCAAGTACCCCCTAGGTGGCAGACCTGGCTCCTTGCACCTCACTCTGTTTGGAACCATGTACTTCAACTACTCTGGAACTGGGTCTATGGCTATCAGCTCCCCTGTTTCCCACCTGTGTTAATGTGGCAGGCCCAACTTGGTTTGGCACCTGTCACCACTTTCACTCAGGGGTCCTTTGACCACTGAGGTAGTTATAGTGACTCCAAAACACAGCCCCCCATTTTTTATTCCTTCACTAATGGTACAGAGCATACAGAGCAAAGGATAAACATAATAGAAATCGACACCCATATTTCTCTTTACCTAACCCCTAATTGCAATCTTTCACATGTTTCAGCCAGCCCATTTATCTCCACCTCTGGGTTATGAGAAGCCGACTGCCACTACTTCAGTTTCTGCATTTCTCACTCTTTATGTCTCCTTGCTAGCCTGTCAGCTCTCATTGACTCCTGGGGCAGACCCTCTTAGCTCACCTGTACCCCCTTCCTTTTCTAGGCCCCGGGGTCTTGTAATGGTTGAGTGTTCCCTTTGACATCTCTCTCTTCTCAGCCTTGATAAAACATCTCAGAGTTGGGGCTGAGGAGCCTTCCCTTCGTGGCTATAAACCTGGCTATTGTGTTTGAGAATTTGGTAGGATGCTCATTATCTTGGCCATTGTAAATGCAGAGTCTCGTGTGCCATATTCATTAAACCAAGATATTTCCCACTTCATTACACCAGGCCTGAAAGAGTTCCAGCACCAAGAGGGACTTGGAGTCCTTTCTAACAGAGGAGCCACCTTGCCATTCTGTCATTAATGTACCTTTCTTTGTAAGGATCCCACTTGGAATTCCACTCATAGCTTAGTTTATTCAGTACTTTTTTTCTCAACTCCATAGCCAAATAGGAGGGCAGGCCTGAGGTCTTTTAATTAAGTATTCTACCCTCTTCCTGCTTGCTAATCTACTACAGTGCAAATTTACAGAGGTAACTACATGAAGGAGAATGGCAGCCTAAGTACCAGTAACTGAGTTCTGTGAATATTTTGTCTCTTCAGCTGTACACTGACCCTTCTTCCCTGTTACATTGAGATCTTGTAATTAGTAAAATGAAGCAAAGAGGATCAGCAGATAGTTGCAGAGCTGAGTTCTTTATAACCAAGGTTTGAACTTTGTATCCATGGGTCAATGTGCATGCCAGCCTCCTACCCGCACTCAGATGGTTACACCTCTTTAAAATGGTTTTGCAAGCACAAGACAAGCCACAGCACCTACTGTATGGATCAAGTAACCTGCCTTTAAATTGATTTTATATATCCAATATAATTTCAGTAAAATTTCCCTTCCTATTACTTAGACTGTTGTGAGAGTTCTAGAAGATCCAAATGATCTACGGCATGATATAGAGAGGAGGAGAAAAGAGAGGCTGCAGAATGAAGATGAGAGAGTGTTTCACATAGACAGTGTAATTCAAAGGTAATCTACCTTTAGTGAATAAATCTGTATACCTGAGTCTGTAGGGTCATCAGAAATTTTTTGCATCTGTTTTTAAGGTTGGTCCTTGAATTTTGAGTCTCAAAATCTAATTCCATTTAAATCCACTATAAACGCACCTAGACTTTATTCTGTAGTAACAAAGAACAGCCTTGAAAGAGAGAACGGTTTAACTTTTAATAAAGGTGAACTGCAGTGTGAAAATTAAAATTAAGCTTTGTGTCAAATGTTCCCACTGGCCAGGCTGTGGGAAGGAGGAAGGAATTGAATTCAAATAGATGTTTTTAACCATTTAAAAATTCTCCTTTGTTGTAAAATTCTCTTGGAATTCTCTGGTTCGCTGACAGTATTCTGGAATGAATTGTTCTGTGCAACCATTGCTATTTGTGATGTCCCCATCTGGGATACCTTCAGTGAAGCAGGAAGTTCCAAGAGTATTTTAGAGATTTCTTTTTCAAAAGATTTAGTTACAGTTTATTATTGCACAGAGTGCCTCCCACTGCTTGATTAGTGGGGACATTCAGCACAGAAATGTCTGCTTAACTCAATTTTACTATCGTATATACTCGATCATAAGCTGGTTCGTTTATAAGCCGAACCCCCCTCTCCCCCCAAGATGAATAAGTAAAAATGGAAAATTTTTATAACCCATTCATAAACCGACCCTATAATTCAGGGGTCAGCAAACTTTGGCTCCCGGGCCATCAGGATAAGCCGCTGGTGGGCCGAGATGGTTTGTTTACCTCAAGTGTCCGCAGGCACAGCGGTAAACCTAGTAAACAAAGTGTCCCGGCGTGCCAGCTGCTTACCCTGACGGGCTGGGACAGCAACTAGTGGGGAAATGTATTTTGGGGGGAGAATCTGGGGGTCAGGAGAGTAACCCCTGTGACCACCCCCCACATGACCCAACCCCTAGCCCGGGACCTCCACACTCTCCCCATCCTATCCCTTCCCACCTTATCTGGGGAGGGCCAGGGGAGGATGTCTCTGGGCTGGCTGGAGCTGCTCCGGCAGGCTGGGCAGCGCGGCTGCAGCCTGCTCCGGTGGGCCAGACAGGGCGGCGTGGCTGCAGCATGTTCCAGCGGACTGGGCCGGGTGGCACGGCCACAGCATGCTTAGGCGGGCCGAGTGGCACAGCCACAGCCTGCTCTGGGGGGCGGGCCGGGCGTCACGGCTCCAGCCTGCCAGCCCCGGAGCTGCAGCTGCTTCCGAGGCTGTGGGGAGAGCAGTCTGGCCAGAAGCAGAGAGACTCTGGCCCCACCTCTTCCCTTCTGGCTCTGCTGGCTATGCTGCCTCTCCTTGCTCCCTCTGTTGGGCGGAGGGGCTGTGTCCCACTTCTCCATCTCTATACCCGTTCATAAGCCGACCCCCTTCTCTGGTGCTTCCCTTTCTTACTAAAAAAAATTCAGCTTATGAACGAGTATATATGGCACTTCACTGGTTAACCTTAAAAGATTAATCTGAATATACAGAGATGACTTCTTTGTACAGAAAAGAATAATTGTGGAGGAAACTGTCAAATTGTAATGAAATAGGGCTTGATTTGATGATATCTCATAACATACCAGTGCATATTTATTTTAAATACAAAGCCTATTACATAGTAAGTTGCAATACCTGCTGATTAGAAAACTAATTTGTGGCTTGGACTGGGTGCAGACTTAAGAAGGGGAGAAGGAACTAATTTCCTTTCCTTTGTCAGTTTGTAACATCGTCATCATGTTTTCCTTTTTTTAAAAATTGATGAGAACTTTCATGGAAGATCATACAGAATATATTATGTAAGTGATCAGCTTGATTCACTGCTATTCAACTCTCGTCCAGTATATCTGAATGAGTGTCCTTGGAATTCATTTTATAACTATATATTTTCAAACAATAGAGATTTACATTTAAATGCTTTTAGGCCATACTATAAATGCTTATTTAAAAGTAGATGCTAAGCAACTTGAAATAGGCAAATGGAAATGGTCAGTTGTATAGTCCCAAAGCTAAATCTTGACTTCTAGTGGCTGCTTCTTTTTATGGTGAATCTTTTCTTAGGTAGATGTTGACACTACTGCATTTGTGGTATACTAAATAAGAGAGAGTGAGTGGTATGGCCTGTTCAGGAAGGAGACCTACGGGTATAATATCAGTAAGCATTCTTTTGTGTACTGCATAATGTCTGTTTTAATTTAGAGCTTTAAAAATTACAAAATTTGTATGGTTTTATTTAGAAGACTGCTTAGTGGTGCTTACATGAATGAGCTATTTTCTTTCTATCAGGAGAGAATATAAAAGGCATATTAAAGCAGCATTCCAGGTTTTATGCATTTGAAACTGCTAACCATAAACCCCAGTCTTATGTTTCAGGCAGTTATTCTTCAGCTTTATATTTAAACCTTATATAAGACACCAACGTACAATTGTGAAATCTTCAAAAGTAGTAGGAAAATAAATTTTTGTGCAGGACCTAGAGAAGAAATGTAGTTTTTCTTCTTGCTCTTTGCAGCTTTGCTTCTTTTGGTGCCATGTAACGCCAAGGATTCTTCATAATTCATGCAGTGTTTCTTCATATCCTGCACTTTCATAGGTTAATAGATTTTTAGCCTAGAGAGGGATCATTTGTGGTCTAATCTGACATGCATAACATTGGTCAAAACCAGATTTTTAAAATTCCACCTTCAAAATTTGTTCTTATCTCTTCTTAATCCAGGGTGCTAAGAGTATGTTGTATTCAGCAGTGGTTTTCAACTAGGGGTACGGGGCCCACTGGGGTGCCACAAGCAGGTTTCAGGGGGTCCGCCAAAATAAACCAGAGAGCAGGGCTGGTGTTAGACTCACTGGGGCCTGGGGCTGAAGCCTGAGCCCCACCGCCGTGGGCTGAAGCCAAAGCTTGAGCAACTTAGCTTTGCGGGCCCCCGTGACGTGGGGCCCCAGGCAATTGCCCTGCTTGCTACCCCCTAATGCCAGCCAGGGCTTTTAATCTACTGGATATGCAGAAAAAGAGTTGTTGTAGAACAGGCGGGCTGTGGAGTTTTTATAGCATGGTGGTGGGGCTCAGAAAGAAAAAGGTTGAGAAACCCTGGCATTCAGTATTTGAGTACATGACTTTCAATGGGACTTAGCCTAAGTGATTTAGGAATGCATGTCTACACTACAGCTTATGTCAGCATAATTTATGTCGCTCAGGGGTGTGAATAAACCACTCCCCTGAGAGACATAAGTTACACCGACATAAGTGCCAATGTGGACAGCACTAAGTTGGTGGAGAGTTTCTCCCACCGACACAGCTTCTGCAGCTCATGGAGGTGGTTTTATTATGCCACCGGGAGAGCTCTCTCCTGTTGGCATAGAGCATCTTCACCAGATGCGCTGCAGCAGCGCTGCTGCATCAGTGCTGTACTGTGTGGACAGGCCCTTACATGCTTTTGAAAATCCTATCAATGGTACATAAATAGAGGCTGGATGTCACACTGTGTACTGAATGTGGTATGAGGAATAGAACTTGTGATCTTTAGCTCCAAAAATGCAGACTTCTTCCATTTGAACTAATAGAACTCTCCATTTTATAAGAACACTAAGACATAGAGCTATGTTGGACAGCCACACTAGGCTGAGACAAGTTCAAGCTGTAAAATAATTAAAAGTAAGTCTAACATATTCCAGCCAGCAGAGGGCAGGGATAGCCAAGCACATGCATCGTTGAATCATTTGTACAAAGATTTTCAGTTGTATGATGAGGATTTAAAGACGGCACTGAGAATCACTAGCTTGTCTGTTTATTAATCTGTGTACCAGAATGCAATGATGATTTCATTTAACTTTGGTTTCGACAGTGAAAATGGACCACTAGTAATTTGTCAATTAATGTGCCAGTTTAACATATTTTTTAATACTTGTACATAATTTAAATTTTTTAAATAGCTTAATTTTGAAATATTGCTGGCTTAGTTTTCATTCCTTTTTTATTTTCTGTATCCAATCAGGAATGAGCACAATGGTAGCTTTTCAAAATTACAGAACTCTCAAATTGATGGATTCCAAAAGCCTATAAGATTCCTAAAACCACCTTTCAGGAAATTTATTAGGAAACCTCACATGGTAAGTTGAAGTGAAATAGATCCCTTTCCTTGCTTTTCTCTTCTCTTTCCCTTATACTCGTATTTAAAATTTTGCTGTGTTGGCTGGGCTGACATGAATTTTAAGTCTCTTGATCCCTTGTCATGTTAAGTTTCAAAAGATTATTTGTTGCATCATAAAATTTACCTGTGTTAAATTACATCTAAATAGTACTAAAGTTTACTGGTCATGGGTAAACTCTGCTGCATCTGAACTTTTTCAAATGTTACAACTGTTACATAGTATACAAAAAGGTATTGGCTTGCATGAATGATGACATTATTCTGATTTAAAATCTTGATTTTTCTGCTTTTTGATGCCTATGCACCGCTCCTAAGCAACTTGTACTGTCTTTTTATTTCCCTGGCCTGGAGATGGTTATTGGGAATCGGAACACTGTTTGATTTAGACTTGGAACTATTTACAGTGGAGTCAGAACATTTTCAGGATAGTCAAGAAATGGGGAGATCAGTTTCTAACACAGGATAATGAGAGCAGGTCATTGTAATTCTGGGTGCTGAATGACTTTGCAATTTCAATGGATCATGGGGAACTATTAAATTAAAACTTGGATTGATTGCAGCCTGTATTCAAGAAATTTGGTGATGCACTACATTTTCCCTTACTTCATAAAATACTCCCACCTAAAGCACAGATCAAAGGGGTTATTACTGAATGACTCATCTGAAGTAAAATGTAATAGTTTTGGATGAAGAACACAGGAACAGAGAGCCAGCCCACACACTCCAGTGGCTGACCAAAGGACAAAGTGCACATCTTGCTTAAATTAAGTACCCTCCTCTGCAAAGAGATTATCTTTTAGTTACTAGAAAGATTCTAGGATATGCATAAGAAAAAAAAATTCAGGGAATAGAAATAATTGGACATACTTAAAATTCATGTAGTGAAAAAGCTCATGTTACTCTAGATCAGTGTTTCCCGAGGGCGTACTGGCCGCCTCTTCCTGCAGCCCCCATTGGCCTGGAGCAGCGAACCGCAGCCAGTGGGAGCTGCAATGGTCCGAACCTGCGGACGGGGCAGGTAAACAAACCGGCCTGGCCCGGCCCGCCAGGGGCTTTCCCTACACAAGTGGTGTTCCAAGTTTGGGAAACACCGCTCTAGATTTTTAATTCACCAAATTTAGATGGGGCCTTTACTGACACCTCCATAATGAGTCTTTTTTTAAAATAAAATTTGTACATTAAACTGGGCAAAATGATTACCGCAGGTCCAGTGCTGGCCTGTAATAATTAGAAATAAATGCATGTTCCCTCTGGACAGTTTCTCTACAAATAAATGTAGTCTGTTTTCAAGTGTTTACTAAGGACTGGTCTGCACTGGGAACTTGCATCGGTATAGCTATGTCTCTCAGGGATGTGAAAAATCCACACCCCTGAGTTACCCCCAGTGTAGATCACACTAGGTAGATGGAAGAATTCTTCTGTCAACCTAGCTACCTCCTCTCAGAGAGGTGGATTAACTATATCAGTGGGAGAACTTCTCCCGTCAGCGTAAGTAGTGTCTACATTGAAGTGCCACAGGGGTGCAGCTGCAGCTGTGCCGCTATAACTGTTTGAGTATTGAAATACCCTCAGATAAATGAGTGACTGTAAGCTAACAGAGTTAGATAAGCAAAGGCACGCAGAGAAACTTTTGTTGAAATAAGTACAGTGTAAATTAGAACTAAAGCTTCAACTTCCTGAGTTTTCAAGGGACTGTTTTGGTGCATGCAGAATAAATAAAATAAACTAGACAGGAGACATGTAATTTGTGGTCTTTCTTATTTAATGTCTTGACACATTTAGTCAATATTTTAATGTCAAACTTCCATAGGTTCATCAGACTTTTCCTTAGTCTACCAAAGTTTGTTTTTATTATCCACAATTTGTTCACCAACACTGAAATGCAGTTGCTTTGGGGATGTAATATGGCAACTCTCTAACAGCTCTGACAATGCTACAGAACAATTTAGGACAGGACATGAATAATACTTCATTCAGAACTAAAATCGAAATTATGCATTTGAAACTGTGAGAGCCCGGCTTAGCGGTTAACAGACTCAATGCAAATCAGAAGGGAGTTGGTTCAAAGTGGGAACTGAGTTAATGCATTGTGTCTACTAAGGGTGCAGTGAAAACTTTTGCCTGACATTTAACAGGAAACTGCAGACAAGGGAGTTCTTGGACAGCAGAAAATGCCTTTGCCTTGACACTTACAAGTTCCAGCAATGAAGAGTTGCTGAGTAAGAAGCAACGGCAGCCATGAACGAACAGCTACTGAATAATGCAGGGCATCCTGAAGGAGAGAGAGCCAGCCATGTGCTAGCCAGTTTGAAGACAAGATTCTTGCCTCAGAGTTGACAATGAATATGTCAGCAAAAATTAGAATGAGTTAGTGCTAGCCAAATGTTTTAAAGAGATTAAAAGAGCTTTTAGGGACAGCACTAGAACATTTTTTACCAGTGTGTATTAGAGCTCCCAGTTGTGACAGATTAGCAGATGAGCATCCCTTTTTGCCCTTGTCTTGCCCTGGCACACTTGTGCTTCCTTTCTCCGTCCATCTTCTCTCCTCTTCTATATTGTTTTTTGCCTTTTTAAAAATGTTTCTTTTCGTTTTGCTCCCTCTTACTATTTCCCCACTCACTATATACTGCTAAGATAGCCCTTCATGGGGTGTATCATGGGCTGGGCTGGCAGATATTACTGTAGCTGAGCTGAGTGCCAGGGGAGAAGAACTTTGTCTGATAGGCTGTAGCTTAAGCCTGATCTCTGTAAAAGTGAGCATCTATCACAGAATTACAGGCTGTAGCAGGAGCAGGGTGGTAAGATTGTTTTCAAGGAGCCACCTGTAGCTTTAGCTTAAGAGTAATTTTTCAGTGTGCTTTAAGGTAGATCCAGAGCCATATAACTTTCTCAGCATCCACTGCTCTTTGGCCTTGATCCCCTAGAGTAGTCTGGCATCTCTTGGGTTGAAAAGTACTGCAGTAGAGAAGAGTGAAAGCAGCTATTTAAAGAACTGAATGAAAATAAAGATCCCAAAATAGCTCTAATATTAAACTCCTTTTCAAAAAGATCTGCCTTCAAGAAAACCTGAGAAGCTTACACAAATAGAAAGTGAGACAATGTTATACACGTTCTTGACAAAAAGCAAGTAAGGAAATAAAGTACATTAAATATGAATACAAAGATCATCCAGTCTGCATAATATACATTCTGTGCTCTTAAGGGAATTTGTAAAACTCATGAATGACATATTTCTGAAATGTCATGAAAACTGGATATGTGCCAGATCATTAGAAAAAGCAAAGGTAGTATTGGTCTTCAAAATGAAGAGTGATCCTAGCAATTAATTTACTATCAATTCTATCTCTAGTAAAATATAGAAGAAATGTTAAGAAAAAATCACTACGTATCAAGAGAAGAACAAAATCATGGGCAGTAAGCAGCATAGAAATCTATCCACTAAAATAATTTTTGACAAATATTCTTCATTGCTAATTTATCAAGTCACTCAAAAAGTAGGGAAAGGGAATTTGGAAGATTAATATTTGAATCTTAGTAAAGCATTAGTAACTCACAGAATCCTGCTACCAAAACAAATTCATGTGGCCTTGGATATGAATATTGTTGCATGGATTCAAAACTGGAGGCAGGACCATTTAAAAAAAAAAAAAAAAAAAAAGACAATATTAAATAGCAGTGTGTCAGATTTGAAGGAGATATTTTGTGGAATCCCACAGATGTTGATTCAGTTCAGGTCCGGTCTAACCAAATATCTTCATAAATGATCTAGAACTGTGCGTATGTTAATGACACTAATAAAAAGTTGTGCTTGGTGAATGGGCAGTTGCAAATAGCCACAAGGGAAGAAGAGATAATAGGTAAATAATATGATAATGAAGTGACCTAGAGAGATTAAAAAAATAGAAAATAATTCAATGAGACTCAGCTTGGAAAAATGCATGTAGATCTACAGACAGGAAATACAGATATGGGAGGGAGAAACCTGAAATGTTGAGAGTTAGGGGTTTGTGAAAAGTAAATTAAACGTAATATCATATTGCACTATGGGAGTAAAATAGGCCAATATCTTTGAGCTGTGTAACTTGAGATCATGTTATGGAATAATAAGTTATTACCAAAGGTCAGAGTGGAGGGGTATGTGTGCAGGGTGCAGTGATTGTATTTTACTATAGCTCTGCCCACAGTCATAAAATGGTTTATAGCCTGAATTTAATCTAAAAATGTAAAAGGTGCTAAAAATTTGTGAAAACAAATTAATCCTAAAATTGTGTCATGTGTCCCATGTAATAAGAAACTAAACCTTAAATAAATTCCAAACTGCAACAGATAAATTACATCCAGATTAATCTTTTTAGTTGGCTCAATTTTGGTGCTGATTAAGGAATTCATCCTGGATTCTGCGGAAGAACTGTAGCAGTTTAGCATAATATCAGCAAAATCATAAAATTTAGGGGAACAAGTGGAATGAACGTCTGGCTAGCCTTTATGTTTGGGGTGTTCAACATGCAATCATAAGGCATATGCTTTTTAAATGACAAAACGCAATCGTAACCACTCCCCTTTTAAGTGTATTCGTTTTTGTTGACACGTAACTATACAGCAAGAAGATTGTACCAGAGGGGCAGGTTTCCAAGGGCAAGCATGACCAGTAGGCAAGGCTCTATGAATAGCATTTTTAAAAGAATATTTAAATAAGGACAGAAATAAATCCCTGAAGTTATTTAAAATTATATTTTAAATTAGATTGGACATCCAGTTTTTATGGTGTTGTGTGGATATTTCTGCTTAATTTTTGTTTATTCAGTATTTAAAATACTCTGTGGTTAAATCATGCTTGTCTGGCTCTTTGATTAAATGGTTGGTTCAGGTGCATCGTACACAGACATTAAAGAAGCAACTGATATTTGAAAGATTTAAATCTGAGTGGCAGGTCATACCAGATATTAAGATCCTGCATGA